CGCGTCCCTAAAGTGGGGCAGTAGCATCGATGGTAGCCTCGAAGGCACAATAGCAATTACCAGAAAACGACGATCGTTCCTTGCGAACGGCCAGATAGCGTCGAATGGAATCGAATCTGCGGTAACGTTCCTAGGAGATTGGCTACTCCCCGCCGCAGAAGGGAGGATTACAGATCGATCTCGAGTGTCATCGAACGTAAGCTTTATCGATCTTGACGGCGCGTCAACCGGATATTGGATGGATAGGGATACGAGAGGCCTATAAAGCGGACGGATGGTCGGTCTTCGCGTGATCGCTCGCCGATCGTGCATATCGATTCGATCGTTCTCCGATACGTTTTGCGGCCTTTGGTACAGTTCCGATCGGCTAACGCGTCAGTTATCGCGTTTTCGAGACGTTAATTGTTCAATGATACAAGAGCTAAAAAAAATACAGGGTATTTTGAAAGCACCGGATGTATTTTTCGCTGCGGATTCTTCGATCGAGTCGTATAATCGGAATTGTCGAGAGTTACATCTTTCTCTTGGAATGGCGTTCGGAATTTTATCCTGATCGGCTTTGTTGCGTCAGAACGGGATATTGAAGTATAAGAAATGCATCATAGATTGGATTTTTATCGATAGGATGTGATAGAGTGGTCGAAAGTAGAACACACGCGAGAGCGGAATCATTTGTTCGGCGAATTGTAGGAATCGATGCGAGCGTAAATACGATTGTAATATATTGATAAGAGATATGACAGCAACTATTGATACATCATGCAAATACTCGAAACAACCGATCTACAGTCTGATGAAAATATAATCGAATATAAAGGATATTTCTCCGTTCAACTCTTTCGTTTTTTTTTTCGAAGCAGAAATCTCTTCAGAACGCTTTAAAGTAGCAAAAATATTTAATATTTAATTAATAGAGAGAAAGTTATTTTTGTCTAATATTCTCGGATTATTAGTATTAATTATTACCTACACATTGTGCAGGAGCGTAAAATAATGTGGCATATATTTCACATTGTTCGCGGGTTTTTCTACAAAGAACTATCCTTTCGCCAACTGTAATATTTCGCGCTACGCACGGTCAGCTCTTCCGGAGAAAATATCCCCTTTATTTTCCCAATTTCGTCGGACAGCTTGATCGAAATTGGAGGTCATGAAAATCTCCGTCAGCCATGTCCGCCCCAGTAGAAGTAAAACAAGTATAAAATGTCGGAGACGATAACAGAGAGAGAAAAAGAGATAGAGCGGCGCGTTACAAAGTTATTTTCAAGTTTTCCTCACCGTCGTACGGTGCCGATGTTTTTTGTCGACTTTTAACCTCCGGTCGGATATTACGACGAAAACTGCCGGACACGTATCGCAGAAATTGTCGCGAATCATCCGTAAAAATTAGTATCGCAATCAACTATTAGATATCAAAACCGTACGCGTATCCAGTCACGATTCAGAAAATCTCGTTTGACTCCTGAAAAGCTTTATCGCTCTTTTATAATGCTCCAACATTGCAGGAAACATAAATAATATTCGAAACACGGATATATAGAAATGTATAGGATACGTGTCTCGTTACGAATAATAGTGGAATATATGTGAATGTGGGAGATATGACAGAGTTTTATATGCCGGCTGAAAACATTGAATTTATGATAATTTCAATTGTGCCTTAAATGCGAAAGACAAGTATAACGCGTATTGTTTGTCACGCGCACCCATTTATCACGTTCCGTAAAAATATATATCGCCACTCATTCGTAAAGATATTTTTTACATCTCTCATATCGTTTATTTAATAATTGTATAAGATTTATAAGCTAAAATTAAAATTCAAAAGAATACAAAATTTAGAGGATATTAACAGTATTAGCTTTTACTACTTCATTCTTTATAGATTTAAGAGGTAAGTTTAAATATATGCCGTCTGCTTGAATTGCGTCTACGTTGTGTACACATAAGTGTTTATTTTTTAATTTTCATCTAAGTTAATGAAAGTATCCCATGATTTACTTTTCATTACGATGAAAGTCCGATGAAAGTCGCCCCGGCGGTCGATGTCGAGTAACTTCAAAGTCGGGTTCTGAAAGTGCACTTTCCAGGCGTGCTCGCGGGTATATAAAAAAAAGAAGGTAAGAAAGTCGTCGTGCGTAGTACGTAATATCATATCGAGGTAATAGGTTATACCACGTTTGTGTTTGAAATATCGAGCAGAATCAGACGCGACACGCGTAATATCGTTATTGGTATTCAATGTCGGCTGCGTCCTATCCAATCTGACTAGCTGTGTTTCACGATAAATTGCATTTGCGGCTCGAGGGGTAGCTTTTGGTGGGATTTTCCGCTCGATAAACAAAACGAAAGGGAATATTACTTTTCGTCGCGTACAATACATATATCCTGACCATCAATTAGCCTATTCTGTTGGTTTTCTATATTTTGCGAACCCCAGATGCATATCTCTTACATACACGCACCATCTATCTATTTTCTAGAAAAGTCATATTATAAAAAATATTATATATATGGAAATACAGATATTTTTATATAGTTAAATTTATTTGAGAAAAAAAAGTACAATTTTATATATATTTATTCTGTGTAATTAATTATAACTAATCTGTAATTGAAAAATTATATATGAATATTGATCATTATTAAATTGCATTGTTTAATTGAGTAATGAATAAGTTGTACGAATTTTATGTCAATTTCGCGTAGAATTAAAATAGTCATTTATTATTTAATGATCTTCTGGATATAAGGGAATTTTATTTCGGATCTGGAAATACAAGCACATTTTATACCTGAACCGTGGGAAAGTGGTCTTAAAACATCCTCATAAATTCTCTTTAAACTTTTATTCTCGTGCAATTGGGGCGAACGGTGTTAGCAGTAATTCAGAGTTTGCGTACTCATGGTGTATTAGAAATAGAAAGTAGACAATTTTATAAAGTTAACTGAAGAGAGTCGAGAGGATGTTGTCGGGGCATGATATGGCGAAAGTGAAAAGTTGTGTTGCCAGCGGATGAATTTTCTTCCGAAGACGTATCACGGCGGTTTTGCTCCGTTATTGCGCAAACGTTATACCGAGTTGTCAAATGTCACGGGTCCGATGATTTTTCCGAGGGTCAAGTAAGGATGACATCGTGAAAAGAAAAAAAAAAAACTCGCGATCTTTATGTGCGGAGCCGGAGGTCTCCGCCGTAAAAGTTAAAGAGAGAAATAGAGCGAAAAGATGCACGCTGGAGTGACGGACGAGAACAATCTCGTAAGGGCATGAAGAGATGCCGGTGGAAGGCAAAGAAGAACGATCCCAGTTCGTGCCATAAAAGAGAGCGGCGAAAAGGGTTGGATGGATCTCTTTTCGAGGGTGTACTGAACCTTTCATAAGGCGAGAGAAACGCGAGGATATCCCGGTAGGAAAGGTCAATACTTTGGCGAGCGAGTATCGGTCACTAAAAGGAAAGAAGGTCCCTAACGAATACGTGTCGCAAACTACCTGCGAAGTTCATGACGATTGAAGGTGGCATTCGAGTTCTTTTTATGACTTTTGAAAAAAACTTTTATTTTTATTCGAAATACTACCGTGTATTTTGTAATATTATTTCTTTATCCATTTATCTAGATTCAAATATAATTTATTGTAACTTGCAAGTTACAGAGAATCAAACATAAGTCCAAAAGAATATTTTTTTTTATTGTTGGAAAGACCGATACAATCATTTCTCGAAGTATGGATCTATCGAACTTGTTCTCTCGACAGAGATTTGACAGCAGTGAACGTCACGTTTCCTTTAGATATTTGTCGCTCACGAGCAAGCTCAATGTTTTGCATCGCGCTGCCATAAAATTCTACGATTTTCCGCGCACGTTTGCCTCTCCGCTCTTTGCACGAAAGGGCAAAAAAGTAAGGTATAGTCGACGCAAAAACCGCTTTCGGGCGGTCAATTGACGCCGTTTCCAAAATTCGATACCCGAACGATTGCCAGGCGATTGTCGCTCCTCTGGAATGGAACACGCTTGACGCGAATGTGCGCGTCCATTGAATATATACTCGTCGCTTATGCGATTCTTTCTCATATCGGCGAGAAAAGGCAACTATTTATTACCCACCGTTCCCGAATTTAAGAGCG